GTTCTTTACCACTAAGTCATCTGAGCCCACTCAATTTTACTATATGTTGATTTAACAATTAAAAGTATAGAAAATGCCATGGAGTCAGTAACATTGGAAGAAATATTATTTGCCCTATGACCATTGAGATTGTGTCCTTATTGGTATGCTAGTATTTTTTAAAATGACCTTTGTTTACTGGTTGGCTTTTGTGTGTGATTTTTGCTGTTTGGTGGTGGTGGATTTTTGTTTGTTCGGTGTTTTTTTGTTTTGGTAAAAGAATACTAGGTTTCTGCCTGATGATTTCCATACACATTGTTCAGTGACTTTAGTTACATTATATAATGTGTCTCTCTTTCTAATTGTGCCCAGCTTGTTTCCTTATCAGTACTTGAGTTTCCTCCTCCCCATCTCACATTTTGCAGTTTATGAAACAATTGAATTTTTCCTTCATACAAGTGGTTTTGAAGAAATGTTCTCACACAGTTAAATGTCCTTTCATTAGTGGGCCATTCTGTTTTGCCAAATGGTGACCTCAACTAGAGGGGCTCAGTTCTAGGCTTGGAGAGTGTAGTCTTCAATCTCCTGTCATTCCAGTCTCCTGCCTAGCATGTACGTGCGTGCGTGCCTTTATGTCTTACAACATAAAGTCTAAGCTCTTTAGCCTCGTTAGCATATAAAGCAGCAGACAGTCTGTCCCTAAGTTGTTTTTCTAGCCTTCTGTGTTCCTGTGCTGCAGACAATCTGGTTCCCTCACTACACTTGAATATTCTCATTGTGTGAGCTCTCTCCCCAGCTTGTATTTACGCCATTTCCCCAGCCAGCAATGTTCTTTCCCTCTGTCCACGTTTCTGTCGTAGCTAGTCTTGAAAACCCTGGGTCCTTCTTTGTCAACCCTGCTTTAGAATGTTTCACCACAGTGTCTGAGGGAGTTCTCTGTCGTTACCTGATGATTAATGATTAATAATAGAGAACTAACTTTATGGCAGTCCACGTACTGTGCTGACTGAGCTAATTGTTAGCTTTTAACTTTTGGGAACCACCCTGGCTAGTCTAATTCACATTCCATTCGGACGAGTTTCTGTTTCAGAACTCGTGCCATACACAAAGTAGATCCTCAGCCATTATATATTTTTGTTTTCAGGAAGACCAGAGAATAGAGCTGCAGCTGACAGTCTTTGCACACGGCTGGTGTGAGCATAAGCACCGAGGCCTCTGTAATGGTTTATGACTCCCACACTGTCTGTCATTTGTCCTCTGTTCCACTCACCCTTGAACTGGGGTATTTTAGGCATTGGTGTTTCTGTGCAGGTGGCCAAGATCCCAGAATTCATGGTATTCTTCGTGGAACTCCAGGAAATAGGAGAGTGGTGTGCACATGCCAAGCGAGGCTCTTAGTTGCCAAAGGCCCCGCTTGTTCTGAGTTGGCCCAGACAAGGTGGACGTGCTGGCTCAGGTAACGGAAGCCACGGACGGGTTAATGGCAGACTCGAGTAGAACCATGTACTTCCACTGTGTCCAGGGGACTCGCCTCCACTTTTCTTCCCTCGCCTATGACTTGGTGTTCAGACTTGTCCTCGCCAGAGTGGTGGCCACAGGATTCTACTCTCTCCAGGTTGCACCCCCAGTTACTAATCCTTACCCGTGGAATGATTCTTCCTTGACCCACCCCTAAACCAGTCATCCTAACTAACCACTGTGAGAATAGTGTTCTCATTAACCAGGCCTGGGTCGTGCAGGCTCTTGACTGGAATCCCGATGAGGCATTTCGCCTTCCACAAAGTCTAGGAAAGAGGAGACGGACGGTAGTCTTACAGAATAATACAGTTCTATCTGTATGTAGTCAGGGTTTATTACTATGTTACTAGGCACCTTCAAGCAAGCTTCGTTACGGGGAAGATCCGAGCACAGGGTATGAAACCCGGCCAGTCCTGTCCTGTTCTCACAGTCGCTGCTGAGCCCATTACTGCAGTCACTGTGGCTGCCCATCCCATTAAGTGTCAGTCCTTCTCATTCAGGGTCTTCCTCTTCTTCAAGCATGTTAGCTTCTTCCAGAGAGTGGCCTTTCCTCACAACATGCCTAAAGTATGAGACAGAGTCTCCTGACTTTCAAGGAGTATCTGACTGTGTTTCTTCCAGGATGGATTGGTTGGTTCTTTGGAGTTCCATGGGATATTCACAATTCAGAGCCATCAGATCTTCTCTTAACTTCTTTATTCATTGTGAATTTTCACGTGCATATGAAGCAGTTAAAAGTTCCCAGGCCTTTGCTGGATCCTGGGAACGTTCAGGTTAATTGTAAATAGAGCAGCTCTGGAAACCGCTGTGAGCTGGGGCCTCCTCTGTCTGTGGTTCCTCCGCGTTCCGCTCTCCCGGGCACTCGGGACTCTGTGTCCTGACATTGGCTGTCGCGTTCACTCACATCCAGGCGGCCATTCCTGGCTCCTTGCCCTCCTCCCAGTATATGCTGTTCCCTTCGCCGTCCGCCTGATTCCCTGCTCGCCCTGGCTTAAGGCCTGCCTCCAATAACACCGCTTTCAGAAACCTCACTGTCTTTCCCGGATCCAAGTTAACGTCTGTCTTTTTTCCAGAATTTGTTTTCTCTTTTCGGGCACTGAGGGTGTTGTGCCCTGAGCTCTGATTCTGTTCGTAACTTGACTCTAAATTCCTTCAGGCAGCACCGTGCATCCTCCACTTGAGCTCCTGACAGACTCCTGGGCGCATAGTAGGTTTAATTGATTATGGATGAAGTTCCTGTCACACCCTTGATTATCCCCTGGAGGAATGATTTTTATTGCAATTCTTTACTTTCACAGCAGTACCAGATATTTGTAAAACAAGCAAATAAAGCATCCACTAGCAGTCAAGTCCATTGTTTTTAAGTTGTTTCTAACTCATAGCGCCCCTCTGGATTGGAGCAGAATAGAACTGTGCCACAGAGCTTAACACAAGGAACTCTGGTGGCTAACAGGTGAGGAGTTACGCTGCCAACCCAAAGACACATGGTTCAAATCCACCAGCTGCTCCATCAGTCTCCTCCTGTGTGGTTTACTGCCACTGGAAACTGGCTGGAGGATCAGCTCTGAGTCAGTTCTCACTCGATGGCACCACCTTTGCAGAAGCAGGTAGCCAGGTGTTTCTCCCACAGAGATGCTGGTGATCTCAAACCCTGCACCGCCAGGGTTCTTGGTAGCTGTAAACTGTCCTTAATCAAGGACATTGTGTTTTTAATATAAGTGGCTTCCCTCCTCCCTGTCACTCTTTGGTGTCACTTCTTCATCTCCTCTGTGACACACACAGGCAGTCAGAGGTCGTGTGTGGCAGCCCTCACTGATTTTGTGTCTTTAAACAGCTGTTTGGTTAGACCAAAGTGAAAGCAGTTGCTGCTGAGTTTATCCCAGCTCCCGGTGACCGTTAGTGTCAGGGTGTTAGTGCCAGAGTGACGCTGTGGCCGTGGGTGTCAGGGGCTTTTGGGGAGGAGATCACCAGACCTTTCTTCCAAAGTGCCTCTGGGGAGATTTGAACCTTCAACCTTTTGGTTAGTAGCTCAGTTCTTTAGTCATTCCACATAAATACATATATCTAATTTTGTAAACTCACTCTCTAGTCCTGGCCAGTTCTCATGTGCTTCCCCCCTACCTGTCTTTAAAGTGATGTTAAAAACACCTGTCTCATCATTTTGTAATCATAGTAAAAATGGCACTGGAGGCAGCCGTCAGCAGTTCCTAGGTCTAGTGGAGCACGTTTCGTTTAAATGACTTACTTGGATTTAAAGTGTCTTGCTGAAAATCGCTGTTAGTGTGTAAGGGGGAAATAGTAACTCGGGGGTAGAGAAATTGGCTACCACCTTGATGGGGTGAGGAGAGTGGGCATCATGTCCCTCTAGATCTGATAGCCTGAGAGGGACACAGTGGTCAGCCAGTCGTCTGGCCAGCAGGGCAGAGCCTGAGCTTAAGCTGAAGGAAACCTCAGAACCTTCCATTTCCTTAAAGGGCCCCTGTTGTTTGAGACCAGTGCCATGAAAGATAAAGATTGAGAAACTGTTCCGTATTAGAGGCTGAAGAGTCAGGATAGTTAAATTTGTGCTTAAATTGTAGGCTGGGTCCTGAACTGTCTGAAAAAGAACTGAAAGGATACTAAGGGATCAAACAGGTCAAATTGGAATATGAATGGTAGCTTAGGTAAGAGGATTGTTTGGGTTTTGAATTTTTTGAAGTTGATAACACTGCTGGCTTCGGAAGATACTGTCTGTACTTATTTACTGTTTTTAGCATCTTGTGGTTTAGTTGCAAGTTTACAAAGCAAATTATCTTCCCAAGCACTAGTTTATAAATAGACTGTGATCCCCTCAATGTGTCCACACTCTCCACTGCACCCTGGGACCCCATTTCCATTCATCCATCTCTTGTCCCTTCTTGCGTTCTGAGTTTTACTTTTGGATAAATGCTGCCATTTGGGCCTCAGTGGAGAGATGGTCAGAGGAGCTTGTAGGTGCTGCTGTCCATTTCTCAGACCTGCCTGTTGTGTAGGTAGACTTAGTTCTAAGTTTGAAGGACCCTAGTCTCAGGAGTTCCATCTGGTCTTTTCAGTAATTCAAGTTTTGTTCAACACCTTCCTTTGTCCAGGCTTCCTCTTGGTGGTCCTGTCAGAGCCGCTGGAGGTGGTGGTAGCAGGTAGCATATCTCTTTCCTGACTTCAGTCTTGTGGAGGCCCACAGGTCCTTTGGTCCAAGTTCACGTGGTCTCTTTGGCCTTCGGATTGTTTTCTTGAGTCTTTGATTTTCTTCACTTGTCATTGCTCTAGGCTGACGTAGACTAGTTGTATCATAGATGGCTGTTCACAAGCTAAGATCCCTGTCAGAACTTCCCAAGGGAGGAGAGTGGACCTTTATGGACTTCTAGGCTGGTTGGCCGGTGTGGACACTCTGCTCCTTTGCCCTTAAGCTCAGTAACTTCGCCTTATTCTTAAGAAGCTCAGACGGAAATATTTGGAGTTCAAGATATGTGCTGGGTGTAGCCATCATGGGTCAGAAGTACCTGCACAAAGGAAAGCAGGGGATAGAGAATGGGGGGACGTCTTCTAGAACAAAGAACCCAGGCACGAATACAAGTGCTCTGTGTACTCTTTGTGAAGTGTCTCTGAAAGTTGAAATTACATCCCCAGAAAAGAATACTGTGTTTCTCATTTCATTTCAGCGTTGTTGTAAAATACGTAACAACAGTATAAAACTGTTTTGAAAGGCCAGTGCTTGGAATGCCCATCTGTGTGGTTTCTCAGTTCTCACCAGTGTTAATCAGTAGCATCTTGGGTGCTGCCTGCGGGGTCCCAGCCCCCTCCTATCTCACACACCCCGCCCCAGATAGAGTAGGTTAGTCCTTTGCAGAGCTGCAGACACTCAGAAGTAGGTAGGTGTTTGTTGTTAGCAAGTTTCCATTTTAACCAGTTAAACAAACTGAGGTGCAGGGGACGCTGTGGCACAGTCTGGAGTTGTGCAGCTGACTCCGAGACTGCTTTCCTCTGTTGGTTCAAATCCACCCACAGATCTGTCCAATTTACAGCCTCGGAAACCCATTGCAGGGGAACAAACAGCGATGAGTTGGAATTCTGCATAGCAATGAGTTAAACTGCGTTGAGGTGTGACTCAGCCGAACGTGGCTTATTTATATTCTGTACTGTACCTTTAGTTTTGAAAACGATTTTTCTCTTTCAGCCCAAAATGGAGTTAATCCTGACTGGGAGAAGAAAGTCATCGAATACTTCAAGGAAAAACTAAAGGAAAATAATGCCCCTAAATGGGTAAGCTTTTTGCAGTTTTGTTTTGTTTTGTTTGTTGTACATGGGGTTGTGGTGAGTCGGAAACTAACAGCAGTTGCTGTTTTGTGGGGAGAAGGTTGTGCAGTCTCCAGTTTCTCTCAGCAGAGCGGTAGTACATACATGAACGTGCATGGCCGTCGGCTTGAAATGCATTTGTGTAAAGAGATTTAAGTCTAGTCGGCAACTGTGTAGACGGTGAGTGGCTTCCCGGCTTCTGCCTCTAGGTGGCAGTGTCTGACAGGGCTGGACTTCACGTGGGTCATTAGGATTCAGCCGCCTGTGGAGAACTGTCATTTCCACCCAGTTAACACAGAACCAAAATCTACACCACAGAGCTTGTTAAAACGTAGATTCTGGTTCAGTACATTGAGTGGAAATGAAAATTCTCAGCAGGGAGTTGAACGAGAATGAACCACTGAAGTCTAGAATATTCTATTCATCCTAAGGGAATATAAAAAAAATTCAGGTCCCAGTGTTTCTTGTTTTATTACTTTCTTGTAAAAGAATTAGTATTGATTAGTTTTAAGAGGCAGTGATCCCTTGTGGGCAGTGTGTAATAATATTTCAGGCTGCTAGCCAAAAGGTTGGCAGTTCAAATCTACCAGCTGCACCATGGGAGAAAGATGGACCGTTTCCTCCTGTAAAGGTTTACAGCGCCAGTAAGCAGACGGAGGGTTGATATCCATTGGAACCAACATGACGGGAAGTGGATCCTATGGCGGGGGGGGGGTCGTGCTAAGAGAAAAGCGCCACAGAGGAGTAGCCTTCCTGCTACTTGCAAAGTGTCCTTTTGTGTTATAGTCAAACGTCAGACAAACTTACGCCAGCTCTGTTACAGTGACCGTTGAGATTACCTTAGCTGCCTGATGGGGTGTGATTTTGTTTTCTCAATGGCAGTTTGGATCTCAGTACAGAGTCTGTGAGGAGCTCTGGTGTGCAGCGTATTCCACGTTGCACTGCCAGCCGGAAGAGCAGTCCTTTGACTGCATCGGCGGCTCTGAGTGCGAGAGATGAGCAGTGTCCTCCTGCAGAGGTGGACACCTCCGACCTGAAGGCGGGCCACCGTGCGTCAGAGCCAGCGCAGCAGCGGGGTGGGTTTAGAGGACGGAAATGTGAACTGCTTTCTTAGGCTGCCTTGTTTGCCTTCCAGGTACCGTCACTGAATGAAGTCCCTCTTCATTATTTGAAGCCCAACAGTTTTGTGAAATTCCGATGTATGATTCAGGATATGTTTGACCCTGAGTTTTACATGGGAGTGTATGAAACGGTTCACCGAGACACGAAAGCACGAGTATGTATTGCTTTTTGCAGTTAAACCTTCTTCTTATAATTTGTTGTGTTCATTTTGTCCTTGTATGTGTCATAGATGTTTGAGGGGTTTTTAATGGTAATTTTGATTCTGATAAACTAATACTCTTCCTTTGTTTTGAATCATAGGTTCTTCATTTTGGAAAATACAGAGATGTTGCAGAGTGTGGGGTGTGTATTCTTAAGATGTAAAGAGCATTTTAAGTCATTTCCTCCCATGCAAAGAATTTATTCCTTCCCTTTAATATGAAACGTATTTCTTATGTAATATAAGTAAGTTGTAATAAATTTAAAACTTTCGGTGAGCTCTGGTGGCCTAGTGGCAAGAAGCTGCACTGCAATCCTGAAGGTATGAGGTTCAAATCCACCAGATGCTCTGCTGAAGAAGGAGGAACAGTCTCCTCCTGTACCAGTCAGATCTGATTTGACGGTACACACACAAATAAAAATAAAAAAAATTTTAAAACTTTCCTTAATGAGAGGACGTAATGGGAACTTTATTCATAACAGTAACGGGAGGGAAAGAAGGCAGAACACCGGAGATGCTGTACTGTCAGGGCATTACCCTGAGCCTGCCCTCTGAGTCTGCTCGGCCACCAGGCCTGTCCCTGTGTGCCCGTATCAGAATAAAATGTACATGTTTTATGTTTTGTTGCTGCTAAGTACCGTTGAGTTGAGCACAACTCATAGCAACCCTGTGAACAAAAGACCTGAACCCTGTTTTAAAAATATTATTGTTTCTCTAAGTTCATAGTAGAGTTTTTAGAGGCATGTTCTTTAAGAAGTTGATGCCACTCCTCCTTCCAAGCCTGTCTTAATCTGAGAGCTCCACCGAACACTGTCCACCACGGGTAACCATTATGGCATTTGACACACCAGTAGCATATATATTTTGTATACATACATATAATTTTTTATATACCATAAAAATTGGATTTTTTTTTTAAATCAAATGTGTTAATATTGGGAAAGGAAAGGAATTAATTTTTTTCCCACATAAAATATTCTACCTTCTAAGATATTTACAAAATTTTAAGCAGTCATATCAGAAAAGCTCTTAAACAAAAGAGATTTCTTGATTTTTTTTCTTACAACTTAGTTAAACATGATAGGTAAATTTAAGATCAACAAAAGAAATAATAAATCTTGCATATGAAATAATTGCACAGGTGTTATGTACGTAGAAAGCGGTAGGTTAACAAACAAATGTAGAAGGGCCATGTTATTTGTGTGAAAATAAGCTGGACAGTGAATAAATGTAAGAGAAGAGTTGATGCCTTTGAACTGTGGTGTTGGAGAAGCCCTGAACATCCCACAGATGGCCAAAAGAACAATGTCTTGGACAGGACGCAGCCAAGAGCGCTCCTTGGAGGCAAAGATGATGAAGCTTTGTCACACATACTTTGGGCATGTTGCTAGGCGTGTCCTTGGAGAGGAACACCATGCTCTGAAAAGTGGAGGGATGACGAAAGAGAGGAAGACACTTGATGAGGTGGATTGACACAGTGACGGCAGCAGTGGGCTCAAGGGTGTCAGAGATGAGGATGACGTCACAGGATAGGACAGGGTTCAGACCTGTTGTTCATAAGGTCGCTATGAGGCGTACTTAACTCACTGGCACCTAACAACACAACAACAAAGGCTGAGTAAGGCCTGGTGTTGTAAAACTTAATGGAAAAACAGGAATTGTAATATATCTGGGTTCATCAAGGAGAGGGTTGTGGCAAAGAAAAATAGCCAGATAAATTTGTTAAAACAGCCTCCTATATCATACTCATAATGTGTTTTTATGTGGCTCTGTGGAGTGTAAAGCATCATTGTCAGCTTTGGAAAAGAAAAAAGTGTCCCAGGTGAGGACCAGCCAGGTATCTAGTTGCGGCCTGAACGCAGCCTCAGTGACTCTCAGAGGAAAGAGTCCCTTCCCTCTGGTCTGATTGTCTGTCTGCTGGGCAGATCCAGGATGTTACTGGGAGAAGTGGCACCTGCATACTCAGGCCTGCCTGCGGGGGTTGATGGGTAAGCCCTGGTACAGCCTGTCAGTCCACGGAAGTCGGTTCCTGTGCTGATCTCCTGAGGCCTTTTTTCCCCTAAGAAATTCACTTTTTATAGTCAGTTTTATGCCAAGTTCAACGGATCAGCTTTCCTCTGTTTAAGGAGCCCTGACTGTCACTATGCCGTTATGTGACTAGACAGCCATTTCTATCCCCTGATAGTGTACTATCACTGTTGGTCACTAATCTCTCCAGCTGTAAAAAAGGAAGGCGGGACTGTCTACCTGTGGATGTTCTTGTGTCCACTCCTGCAGAGGTGCTATTTAGTATAGATTTAAGGGAAGATTGTGTTTTAGTAATTTAAAATGATGTCTGTTTTCTTTTTTCAATCTTTTTAAATTTTTTTTAAAAGGATACTTTGAAATCAGCTGCTGCTTATTCATTTAACTCCAGTGTGAAATATTTGCTGTAGTTTAATACATAATGTGAAAATGTAGTTTCTCGTTTTTCTTTTTGTTTCCACTAATTTTTTAAAAATTTACCTTTTTATGTACTCTACAGCCTCAACAAGAAGTTGATTTAAACTCACCACGAACTACCACTTTGGAAAGACAGACTTTCTATTGTGTTCCGGTGCCTGGGGAGTCCACGTGGGTGAAAGAGATATCCTTTATGGGACCTGCTCGTGTGTTAACAGGGCCTGGTTGTGCTGCTGATATTTTGCATCTGAAAAAAGTTCATTTCAGACTGAGTCTCTAAAAACTGTCATAGCCCTGTGCAGTTTATGGGGAAAGAAAAAAAGTGTGTTACTCAGTTACAGAGTTTAGTTGTTTCATGGATCCTCAAGAGGAAAACCTATAAATGACCTAAGTGCCCTTCACTCAGAAATGCTGCACTCAGGCTGCATCCCCACAGTCAAGTTCTGCTGGAAGGACTGGAGTCAATTTAAAAGTTCTGAAAAAGACAAGGAGCCCTAACAGAATGAGGTCCTTTTTTTAAAAGAAAGCCAAATTATAATTTTTTTCTAATTTTCTTAAGTAAACATAGTTCTTTAGAGAGGAGTTTATGTCCAAAGCTGTAAGTCTCCCAGGAAGGGATTGCCCATCTTTCTCCTGAACAGCACCTGGTGGATTTGAACTGCTGAAGCGGCACGGCTTTTGTGTTACCCATGCTGTTCCTGTGGACTCTGCCACCGAAGCTCCCGTAGTTTATGTCCACGAAAATTATTTTCATGGCAAAACTCTGTGATCTGGACAGATGCTTCCATGCACAGGTTCCACCACCCAGGACGTTCCTTTGTGGCTAGTATGCTTTCCTTAGTGCTGCTTCAAGTAGACACTTTAAATTTCGGTCTTCTTTTTGAGACTTGCGATTTGTTCTGCAGGCCGTCCACTGGTGGATGGGAGCTTGTGAAGCTCGGCTCGGGGTTTTTGGGTGGAGTGGAGGAACCTCCTGTCCAGGCTGAGGGCTGCGCCTGTCCTGTGTGCTGTTTCTAGCTCTCACCTTCATCCCTGGGACATTCAGCAGGCCCAGACCTGGGGCTCCGTTAGCCCCGGGCAGCTGCTCTTGTTGGACCTCATGGAGTCTTGACTTTGTCACTCCCAATTTGGTATTCAACCAGAAACTCCAATAGTTGGGGGGCTCTGGTGGCCTAGTGGCAAGGAGCTGCAACTACAATCCCAGAGGCGCATGGTTCAAATCCACCAGATGCTCTGCCGGGGAAGGAGGGACAATCTCCTCCTGTACCAGTCAGATCTGATTTGATGGTACACGCACACAAAAATTTAAAAAAAAAAAAACAACGAGAAAAAAGAAACCCCAATAGCAAGTACAGATTTCTGGGTTTCCTTCTGTTCACATTTCTTTCCTTTCTTGTCAGTGTTGTTCTGCAAATTGCACTTGCGTAGCTGTGAGCTGTGTGTTCTCGGCCCAGCCAGAGCAGCCCTCTGCTTCACTTTGGTGCAGTTCAGGAGGTTCCTGAGAGGGTGGGGAGTGCCTCTCTGAGTGCTGGGGTCCTGACCGATGCCCGCTGGGCCAGCCATCAGCTTTGTCATTGTTTAGAGCAGGGTGGGGCACAGGCTGACACCTGTTCACGTGACCAAGGCCAGAAGTCCAGCCTCTTTGAAAAATGCATTTTTTTTCTAATCAGGTGAGCACACGGCTCTCTTTTCTTGTGTCACTGATAGAACTTAAGCTGTTCTCCAGTTCACGTAGTCTCTCCTTAACGAGTCGTCTCACGCCTATGTCAACGCAAACCAAGCTCGGGTCAGCCCATCTACATCCTACACGCCCAGTCGTCACAAGAGGAGCTATGAAGACGATGAAGATATGGACCTGCAGCCCAACAAGCAGAAGGAGCAGCACACCGGGGCCAGGCAGACAGGTGCATCCCGTCCCTCTCTCTGCACTGGATGTGTCCTCAGAGACAGTGGTTTTGTCAGGCAGGCAGGTGCGTCCCGCCCACTCTCTGCACTGGATGTGTCCTCAGAGACAGTGGTTTTGTCAGGCAGGCAGGTAAGTCCCATCCGGCTCTCTGCACTGGATGTGTTCTCAGAGACAGTGGTTTTGTCAGGAGGGCAGGTGCGTCCGTCCCCATTCTCTGACTGGATACTGCCCTAGACGAAGAGCCAGCAGTGAGGTGACGAGCTTGCTTCCCAGCTTCTCAGGATTAGACACTTGGAGAGTTTACTGTGCTGTTGGGTCTGTGATCTTTTGTAACTGAACCATTACTTATCACTTAGTGGGCAGTGGGACTGTGGAGCCGCTATAATCTCTCGGGTTATTGGCTAAGAGTACCTTTATCTTCCCATTGGTTTTATCCCAACTCTTTTTCTTTCCCCCCCCTGCATCTGTTTGTCCTTCCTCCCACTGCCTGCTTAAAGGATTTGTTGTACCTTTATTGTGATTAGAGTAAAAGTTACAGCGCAAATGATTTTTCCATCAACAATCTGTGTGCGTTTTGATTCGTGACATCAGTTACAAGCTCCCCATTATAACAGCTCTCTTCCCACCTCCTCCCTGTGTCTCCCATTTTCACTCTTCTTTCTGGTCCCTTACCACTTTCTGAGTTTTGTCTCAGGCACATGCTGCCCTTGTGCTCTTGGATGCTTGGCTGTTCTGAGAAGTGCATTCCTCCCTCGGGCTGTTGCTTAGCATCCCTGTCTTCTGTTTGCCTGGAGGTTGGGTCTGGGAGCAATATAAGTTGTAAGGAGTTATTCTTAGGGTTTTGCCAGTCTCTATTGGACTCGTAAATTGGATCCCAACTCTTTAGTACTCAACCGTAAAAAAAACTTAATTTATAACATTACCTGGAATTGCATTTATTCCTAGACTTTAAAATCAAAGCATCCTTAGAGTAGCCAGTTGTTTTTTGTTGCATCTATAAAAATTTGCAATTTCTTTCATATAACATGCTTCCTGTACAGCTAATTCTGACTATAACAAGGAGATGAGTGGTTGAGATTTTGTAAGGACATGAGAGGTTTTGGTATTAATCAGCCTTGATTGAGAACGCAGTGGGCTTACAGTGGCAGTAGATACATTAACGTTCCACTCACTTCTCCTGAGCACCTTCAGTCAGCGGACCGTCTGTCTGAAGGACTGTCGTTAGGTGTGTTGAGTTGCCTTCAGCCCTGAGCCACCCCTTAAAACCACTGACGTGCATAAGCCCCTCGCTGCTGTCGCATGCCTGCCTCCTCACTCTAGGCCTGTCTCTTTCGATGACTTTCTGCTTTTCAGAGCTGCTAGCCCTCCCGATGACTTACCTAGAGTATGTGAGGTTGGGAGATGACCGTCTCTCACCTGCAGGGCCACTGGTGGATTTCATTAAGCAGTGCACCTCCCTGTGCATGGGAACACCAGAGCTTCCTTTTAAGATTGAATAAAAATTCACTCGTTGCTGTTAAGTTGGAACTGACTCATAGCTGACCCTCCAACAGGTTTTCAGAGGCCGTAAATGGTACAATTGCCCATTTAACAATCAGCGGTAAACACGGATTACTATTGAGCATTAATAGGATACTATTAAGCAATGTATTCTACTATATAAAGTTACTGCATTTTTAAAAAAAAATTTCATTGGTTTTCCTATAATCATTCTTGTACACTTGTATTTTGTGTTTTTTATAGTCATTCATGTACATTATATATATTTTAGGCAATTACCGTTCCTCTGTGCATATTATCCTGTGCTTTCAAGTCCCCATTACTTCAGCCCCCTCCTTCACCCTTAACCTCTGCTATCCCCGTGTATTTTACACCGTTCCCCTTTCTCGCCATCCCCTTCTCATTTTGAACATCTAGACACATCTTGCCCAGTTATCATCCTGTTTTCAAATCTAGATTTGTCCTTATGTGGCTAGATATCTCCCTCAGCATAATGCTCTCTAGTCTCTCCCAGGTTATATACTATTTTACAGAATCTTTGTTCCTTAGCGCTGCATAGTATTCCATTGTGTCAATGTACCACAGTTTCTCAATCCATTCTTTTGTTGATGGTCATTTGGGCAGTTTCATTACATTTTCCTAAGGCGAAGGCATATTTCGGTGTTCTTAAAAATCACCATATCTTTCGTTACTTTATTAAAATGTTATGGTATTTTTCTCAGCCCATCATCAAATGCCTATTAAAATTAAAAATAATTTTCAGACTACTAGTTTAGACTCACACATACATTTGTCAGACTAGTATAGAAAGATCCCTCATGCCTTTTACCCTATTTCTCCCGGTGGTGACAACTTGTATAATTAGAGGATAAGGATAATACAAAGAGGAATGAATATTGATACGACTCTTTGAGGTTTCACATTTGTACATTCACTTGGGGGGGGTTGTACTATGATGTTTTATCACGTGTAGATTCACTTGACCACCACCCACCACCAGCCAAGATGCGGATGAACTCATCGCAAGGGTGATCAGGTTACCCTTTCATAAGCACACACACCTCTCCTTCCTGTTCCCACTCAGCCCCTGGAGGCCACTAATGTGTTCTTTGTCGCTATGATCTTGTCATTTCAAGAATGTTACATAAATGGAATCATATGTAGCTCAGAGGATTAGCTTTTTTCAGTTAGCATAATTCATTCCCTTGAGAGTCAGCCAAGCTGTTGCATGTAGCCATATTTTGTTCCATTTTGCCAAGTAGAATTCTGTGGTGTGACAGGTTTTATTTTGATTCTAATTTGTTAGCAGCTGTAAACTGTCACTACTTCAGGATAGGGGGGCTCTCGTAATCATCGCTGTACGTAACAGCTGTATTTGATTCCTGGTACAGAGTGAGTATTAGTAAAGATTTGGTAAATGAAGACATCTTTCTCGTTTTGATCCAGCATTCAGTGGGGGCGAGCCGTGTTCAGCCATAGTGGTTTGATGTCCCTGGAGCACATTGTTCCTTCCGTCAGAGATGTCAACCTATCTGTTTTGAATATTGACTTTTAAGAGGATAGTACCCGTTGTCGGCTTGTGGGGCGGGGGGGTTGCTGCCGTTTTTAGCAGGGGGAAGAATCAGTCTATTTTTCTCATCTCTTTTCTTCTAAGTCAGAAAAAAGCGTGGTTGGTATATGTGATTTCCTTCAACAATGTCACAGTTTGCACTTTGTGTGTGTTGCTGTGTTTAACGGGAAAGGCTCCTTGGGAGCATTGCTTTGCTCTGGGAAGCCTTTGAAGTGACTTGGTGACACACGCTGTGATTTCAGGGAGCGTTGGTGGCCTTCAGTGGTGTGGAGAGTCAAAACGCTTAGAGACCGAAGCTTCCACCGGGCAGCCCCTGAACTTCCTGAACCTGTCTTCTCCTTTTGACCTGAATTTCCCGCTGCCAGGAGAGAAGGGCCCCGCGTGCCTGGTCAAGGTAATGCCCCTTTCACACAGCTTCCCTTGACCTGGGTCTGTTGTAATGTCTCAGAAATTCAAATGGAAACTCTTAGTATTTGTATTAGTTTCTATGGCTGCTATAAGGGATTACCACACACTTAACTGGCTTAAAACAACACAAATCTATCATCTGTGGGGTGAGAGATCCGACATGGGCCTCGGTGGTGGAAAGTCCCTTCCTTCATCTCTAAGCCGCTAACGAGGCTTTCTTTACCACCTTATTTATGACCCTGATCTGTTTAAGATCACATCTGTTTCTGACCACAACCCAGAAAAGGACTCCAAATTCCAGGACCTGTGTGATTAACTGAGTGCACAGAGATCACCCAGAATCCTTTTCCCTTCTGAGGGTCTCTATCTCAGCCTTGTCTGCACGTGCTCTTCTCCACGTAACGCTGCACTCGGAGATTCTGAGATGAAGGCCTGGACATCCTGGGGAGGGGCAGGGCCAGTATTCTCCTTCCCATAACATTCCCCAGGAATCCCAGAATGTTCAGACTCTCTCCGGTCTGAAGAGTGGGCCTGATGCTTTTAATGCACGGCCTTCTCTCTTATCTTCTTATATTGACCTCATTCCCAACATTCCTCCTCCTCTTCTGAAATTCACTTCTCCCTTGGATTTAAAAAGAAGGAAAAGCTCAGTAGTAGTTTGTTCTGCTGTCTTGCCTGTTGTTCTGTTTTGGGTTTTGTGGGGTTGGGTTTGTTGTTTGTTTTGTGTGTTGTGTGTTTTTTTTTTAATTATGCTGATAGGTGGGAAAGTTCCAGGCAGCAGAAAATTTCTGTTCCGTGTGTTGTGGTTTAAACTTAGATTAGTAATTCAGTCAGTCGCAGTTGGCCTCCATGACCACTGTTCCCTGCATGCACTGTCAGGGGTTATAAAATCCATCATGACAGGCAACTTTGAAAGTTTGTCTTTTTAATTATGGGAAGTCTCATTTTAAGGTTGGTATTAACTCCTAACATAACATAGTTAATGAACAAGCCCAGCATTTGTAATCTTTTTTTCCTCCTCCTTTGGTGTAGTTAATACTTTTTGAAATGATGCATATTTCTGTTAGTTGAGCATCATTCCTTGGTAGAGGTCACTTCTTTGAAGCCCTGTGGAATGTAATATGTGTCCTATGGAAAAGAAACATGGTCTGGGAGTGAAGCGTCCTCATTTTAGTTTTTAACTTCACCACCAGACAGAATAATGTTGTTGTTGTTGATTGCCTTCAAGTTGAGCATGACTCATAGCGACCCAGTTGAACAAAAGGCCTGAAGCCTCTCTATTACTGTCAACACTTATCAAAGCTCATAGTTTCCAGAGGCCATTTGTAGGAAGTGGATGCCACTCCTGCTTCCCCTTGTCTTCCCTCTCTCGGGCTCAGTTTACCCCCCAGGGGTTCAGTAGTGCTTCTGAGGCCTGTTTCCGGATTTGAACTTCTGAGCTGTGATTACTGTTACGTTAACCATAGAGCTAGTCCTGACACTGTGTCACCGCATCCGTCCTAACTGTTTGTTGCCACATGGTCCCTCGCCAGGTCTATGAGGATTGGGATTGTTTCAAAGTCAATGATGTCCTTGAGCTGTACGGCATCCTGTCCGTGGACCCGGTGCTGAGCGTACTGAATAATGACGAGAGGTGAGTCTGTTTCATTACTTTGTGCCAGGTCCACCGTGGGGTGGTGGCTAAAAGCACAGACGACGTGACTCTGAGGCAACAGCACGTGTCGGAATCCCACGCGGGCCACTTAGTAGTATATTCTGACCGTGGCCTTGATCATGGTGCTTTCACCGTGCTCAAATGAGGCTGCTGGTGAGGCTCAAATGAATGAGCGCGTGCAAAGCGTGAACGTTGTCTGACAAACGCCTAGTGCTTTGCAAGAAAAGATTGTCGTTCTCATTCTCAGAGGAAGATAGTGGCATCAGTGTAGTGCTCTATGGAGCCAGCCTATAAAATCTGAAGGTTAGAAGTGTGTGGTTAGCCACTTGTTTCTGTCCTCTCCCTAAATCTGTCCCTGCTCATTCAGCAAAGCTGGGAAATCGACGCAGTCATTACTCAAGAAGGAATCACGTAAGCATAACATTTAAGAAAACCAGTGAAGAGAGGGGAGCAGCCACTGAACAGTAATAGCAGGCGGCTTATGAGAAGCAGCCACTGGTTGTTTCCAGTGGTAAAAATGAGCTTTTATGGGAGCTCTGGTGGCCTAGTGGCAAGAAGCTGCACTGTAATTCCAGAGGTGCGTGGTTCAAATCCACCAGATGCTCTGCTGGAGGAGAGACAGTCTCCTCCTGTACCAGTCAGATCCGATTTGATGGTCCACACACAAAAAAATAATAAAATAATTTTTATATTTTTTTTTAAAAAAAAGAGCTTTTAAGATGTGCTTTGAAGTGTGTGCCATCCCAGTTGATAGCTCAAGAATGAATGAGTGGTGTTGTCAGGTGCCAGCAAGTTGGCCCAGCATTCGGCGGGATGCCCCATCCTTCACCGCTCTCGGAACCTGTGCTGTCCCGCCCAGTGCTGCAACCTCTGTGTCCGTCCGTCCTGTTGACGGAGCTCTGGGGGCCTGGGAGTGAGAAGTTGCACTGAAATCACAAAGGCACGTGGTTCAGATGCACTGCAGGAGAAGGCTGGGCAGTCTCCTCCAGTGTGATTTACTGCCTCTGAAAACCCACTGGTGGGTCAGTGATGGGTCATTTCCAACTTGACAGCACAAAAGAACAACTACAAAGCCTGGTGAAATCTACACAGCACCCTGTTTCAGGAAGGATGGGACACTCAGTTAAAAACCCTCACTGTTTCTTAAATAGAGTTAAGAGCAGTGTACATAATAACATGGCCCGCCTAGCTAAAACCTGCCAGGGAGTACTTTCGAATACTCTGTGTGTCTGTACTGAATCGACGCCGTGTGTGTGTGTGTACACACACACACGCACTGAAGCAGCACCTTGCCCTGCCTCCCCAGGGATGCCTCTTCCTTGCTGGACCCGATGGATTGTGCCGATACCACTGAAGAACAGCGTGTCCACAGCCCTCCCACCTCCTTAGTGCCAAGAATTCACGTGGTCTTAGCCCAGAAGTTGCAGCACATCAACCCTCTACTGCCTGCTTGCCTTAACAGAGAGGAGAGCAAAACTTGTAAGTGTGAAGGGCCCGTGTGACACACGCACGTGCACACACACATGGGCCCAGCCCAGGCTCCACGCGGTGCGTGTCCCCACAACGTGTGCCCTCACGATGTGTGCCGAGGGGACTGCCAGACAGGCCTTCAGTCAGCAGGCTTGGTATCTCTGTCCACTTCCCTCTCCTGATATGTGACCTGAGGAAGCGCATGGCCGCTGGCTTAGTCTGAGTCCCCCGTCCGTGTTAGCCTGTGGGTTGAGGAACCTGCGTGTGTGTGTCTCTGTCTCTGACCCCTGCACCCTTCCTTCTCCAGTCATCTCGAGCTTCATGTCGGAACTGTCCCCGGTGCGCGCAGAGCTGCTGGGCTTCCTCACTCACGCCCTCCTGGGGGACAGTCTGGCTGCCGAGTACCTTGTGTTACACCTCATCTCTACAGTGTAAGTGCTTCGTTCCCGTGGAGACTTGTGGGAAGTTTCTGAGGTCTTCCCTGTGTGTCCATCTCTCAAGTGATCATACCCATAGTGACCTTTTTTTTTTTTTAAATAATTTTAATGAGCATTTACAGAGATTTTGGATTTCCATTCATTCATTGCCATAGTGACCTTTCTGATAAAGGTCTTTACCCTGTTTGCATTCTGAATTCCCATCTCAGGGTTGCTTCCCAGAGCAGTGAGGGCACTCCTCATGACCTTGACTTTGTACACTGACTTTTCAGCACCACATCTGTGTTATTGTTGCCAGGTTTCAAAAGTAAATGTGTCCCTTTAATAATGTCTAACAGCATAAGAAAGAAAAATCATGTGTAATCAAACTTACCACTTAGATGTCACCTTGGTCACCACTTGGGTGAATGTCTATACAATCTCTTTTTTCTGTGTGTATCTATATCTGTATAGATCTTCATTATACTCTAAGCACACACATATATCTTGCTTTTATTGTTTAAAATAAGTACCCTCCCATCATAATGTTTGCAGACACTTTCATACCTACATACTAATTCATTTTTAGGCACAGTGTTTCCCTTTAACTGAATGTTCTTCAGTGTTAAGTTTTATCAGCTTTTCTCTATTGAGAAATAACACAGCATTGAACAGCTTTGTATCGTAAATCACATCCTTGGGATAAGACCCAGGGTAGTATGTCGTGTTTAACACTGCAGGCTCTGGAGCCCGAGGACCTGGGTTTGAATCCTGGCTCCATGGGCACGCTGTTTGAATTTCTATGCCTCAGAATCCTCTTTGGTAAAACAAAGATAATACCACATTCTTAGAGTGCCTGGGGATTAAATAAGCAAGCATTTAAAAACTCAGAACTCTCCCTGGCACATCCCTGGTGTTAATGTATAAAGTGCTGGCTTTTAATTTTATTGTAGTCATTCTGACAAATAAAAGGACTGGTCAGGGTATTACTGAAAATTGTTTTTTGTTTGCTTGCTTTTTGGGGGAGATTTTATTTTATTGATTTTTTTTTTTATTTTAAAGATATACAAGACGAGATGTTCTTCCACTAGGAAAATTCACTCTGAACCTGAGTGGTTGCCCGCGGAGTAGCACTTTCACAGAGCACTTATACCGGATAGTCCAGCACCTTGTTCCAGCGGTAAGATTATTAGAAAAATGAACGTAAGCACACTTAAAAACTCATCCAGTCGCCCTTCATTGAACCTAGTTACATAGCTGAGATGTTCTGGGATTGCTGTTTAGGGGACACGTAGCTTGTAAGCTTACAAAGTTTGAAATGTACTCTCAGTGAGGTGATGTTGTTGTTGTTGTT